GTCTTTGGCAAAATTTGATGCACACGCCGTTCCGAAATCGCAGGAGGGTCGGTGTAATGCACTACCAAAACGCCCGTAACTAAGAAACAAATGCTAATTCGATGATGCCGGCTGGCACACAAATTCACTATGAATGTAGGCCGCACCCCCTAGCGGCAGAAGCTCGTACTACATCCGGTTCGCCCTCTATTGACACAGTCTAGAAACTTTCCGATCGCACCTCGTATCAAACTATGAAAATACTCTTGTCACAGATTTCAACTTCAGAGTCTCTCGTTTAGATCAGGTGCAGTACAGTTAATACTTTGTTCAATGCCTAGATTTTATGGTAGATTTTGGACTTAAATTCATAGAAATTTTTAAATGCATTTTCATCAATATTTTTACAGCATCAATTTTGATAGGCAGCACACTTTCTTTGAGGGGACAGTGCCCCTGGTGCATATCATTGGTCAGTATGAGATGTCAGGTCGCATCCTCGTGCAACCCATCAATGGGATTGGAGACATCACCTTGATTCTTCGTAAGTAACTGCCTGGAACCATATGAAGCTTCAATATGTTCGCAAGTGCCAGCTGCTACTTCATCCAATTTCCAGCCTCACACACTGTTACCTTAAGATGTATTTCAATATCATTCCTCCATCTATGCCTTGGTCTCTCATCTGGCTCAAAGTTTTGCAGCCAAAATCTTGTACATATTTCTCATTATTCTCATTTTTGTTAGATGCATATTTTTATGTGATGTGGACGTTACGATATAGTATGAAGTCAAAATCTGAAATAATTTGTAGCTTCTGAAAACTTAGATAATAACGACAGTATTAGGGAGAATGTCTTAACTTCAGCTAGATTCATTACGAATTAGAGGAACATGAACCATCATTGGATAACAATTTTCAAAATGATTACATAAAATGAAGCAGGCTAAATTGCAGTGGCCACACACTCAAAATGGAAAAAAAAAGGTAATGCAAGCAATTTAAGATGTGAAACTAGTAGAAAGTTATGGAATAAAGAAAGGGAATGTGTGAAAGACAAAATTAATGACCTTGAAACGAGTATAAATAGATCTGTACCGAGACATAAATTAGTATAAGAAGAGTTAGCACCCTACAAATAAATTAAGAAACGTAACAATGTTGATGTGACGAGATTCCTGCAGTAATGGAAGAATTATTCAGATAAGGTTCAGCTTTGAAGGGTTAATTTTAAATGCTTGTACAGAATGTCCTGTGAAATTTGTGCCAAACTTCAGGCTGTTATTGTGAGACATTTTGAGTAAAAATTCTGCATTATCAAGCCTGATTATCAACTGTGACAACGCTGTGAGCCTTCCAGTTTTTCAAGGTACAGTGATTAGTTCTTATCAACCAGGTTCACACCCATGAAGATAAATGGGGAACTGGAGGTAACGTTCCATGCACTAGATGATTTAAAATCATTAGACTCACACTTCGCCTATTCCTTGATACCCACCAGATACAAATCTTCAAAATGTGGTTATGAAGAGAAATATCCCTTCTGGTACCATAAACATAGACATCAACTATACACTTAGCACTTATACGACCCGTTTATCAGCTCGCGCGCGGGCCCCAGAATCTCCTCCATTCCTCTCTGTCCATTGCTCGGGTAGACTACTCCATCTTCCGGATGGAACCGAATGCTGCCCATCTCGCTCGCCGTCTCCGCGCCAACTCTGGTTTGAGCTCGTTCTGCGCGGTGATGAGGCGTCCAAGGTAGATGTTTTCTTTGACGTCCTCGAGCTGGAAGGCGCCGACGGCGACCGGGGCAGTGGCGGCAAATCGATTACGCATCGTCTTGGTCTTCCTGATGTTCATCTTAAGACCGAAGACGTGGCTCTGTCCAGCTCTGCCAGCATCTCGAAGGCTTCACCCGGACTCACGATGATAAGAACAATGTCATAAGCGAAGCGCAGGTCAATCAATGAGGATAACGCTTTCCAGCACCGCCGAGGAGAAGTTCGGGGAGATGGGGTCGCCCTGACGGACGCCCCTCTCCACCGGCACCACGACGTCTCTCTGGTAAGGGATGAGCGTGGTGGAACAGGGGTCGTAGGACGCCTGCAATATGCAGACGTACTCCTCCTCTACTCCTTACTGCCGCAGCGACTCCCAGACGTTCTCGTGCTCGACGCTATCAAATGCCTTCTCGTAGTCGATGAAGGTGAGTACAAGCGGCATCTGGTGTTCCCGGCTTGTCTCCAGCAGACGGTGGATGGTGGTGATGTGGTCCATCGTGGAGAACGAGCGGCGAAGTCCCGTCTACTCTACAGGTTGCGCCTCCTGAAGCACGCGCCGCGTAAAGACCTTGTAGATGATGGGGAGGAGGCTGATCGGCCTGTATTGGCGAGGTCCTCGCGATCGCTCTTCTTGAAGAGGAGGATGGTGCGTGAGAAGTGCCAGTCGTCGGGGACCTCTCCGTCTCGGAGATATCGCGAGAAGCGTGAGGCGAGTGCCGTGTAGAGTCGGAAGCCGCAAGACTTGAGGAGCTCCGCTGTGATGTCGTCAGCCCCGGGCGCTTTCTCTCGCCGGAAGCCTTTCACTGCTGACCGCATCTCTGATGAGAGGAATGCCAGTACAGCGCAAGGTGGTGGCGGCGGGCGGGGGGTATGCAGACACGAAGAGCGGAAGAAACTTGAGTAGAAGTCGTACATCTCCTTCTTAATGCGGACTCGCGACGTAATTCGCTCTCCGGTAGATATCTCGAGGTAGGCAATGAAGGAACGGTACTCGGCGAGATCGAATGCCTCCAGCTCTGCCATGACTGAGGCCAGTAGAGGATCCAGGAGACGTGGTGGTGGTCGCCTGCTACATACCTGGTCCATCCTTGCCTTTATCAACCAAGTAACCAGTCACTATATACTGACTTAGCTATTTGATGTGTAATAATTATTTGAGTTTGTATTTGTCTGTGTGCTTATGATATAATAACAATGACGAAAATTAATGTTCATTTGCAGGCAATGTCCACATGACATTTGATGAAGATTGGAAGTTTATTCCAAGAGATGGTGAAAAGTATGTTTTCATAGAGAATGTAACATCTTCAGTGGTACCAGGAAGTGTGAATGTAAACATTACCAATTTGTTTGGTGGTAACAAATTGCTTGGTAAGACTCATAACATTCAAGGCTTTAGTCAGTTACATATTCAAAATATATATTTGAGTAAAAGCACATAATTTTGGTCGACATCTCTATATCCATCGTGCAAGGCATGATTTATTTTTCTAGGTAGTGCGAGGTTTCTTTGAAGTTTCCTCCTTCAACAACATTTCTGAAATAAAGCACAAAATTACATGGTTTTAAGTATCATGCATCATATTTTTGAAGTTCAAGTCCTGGAGGTTTTCACACATTATGGCTTTAAATGATTTTTTTTTCAAATTCTGAACACTAATCTCAACTAGGTATCATCTGAAGATGGCTGTCTTATGGGTTATAGCGATGTGTAGTCTTTTCGAAGTTTACCTACGTTTCAGAGGAACTTGATCTGCCCTGATGATGGAGGCAGTAAGGGCATCTGAAACGTTGTTAAACTTCTACCAGACTACACATCGCTATAACCCATAAGACAGCCATCTTTGGAGTCACCACCATGGAAAGCTCAATTAATCTGTGGTTTAAAATTCCCAGGTGGGACATTTCTTGGTCTAATAAACAGTACCATATTTCACAAATTTTGAAAACGGGAAGATTAAAATTTTACGATAGCTTTAGTGTGTGTTATTGTGGGCAACAGTATTCAGGATACAGAGGATCTCCACATCTATGTAATTTCCTCTCCTGATTATTTATTTATGATTCAATCACTGACCTTGTCAACAAAGAGACTGTAATTTCTTCAGTCACATCACCGTGCCCTCACAGAACCAGTAAACTCCCACAAAGGCAATACTCATCTGTCGAAGGCCATCGAACACATTATTTTAAACTGCCTTGTTACTGATAAACCAAAAAGAATTGCGTAATAAATATAAGAAGGAGAGCCGATAGCAAAGAAAAAAATACCAGGGCTTCGACAATGCCTAGTCATTAAGTGATCATTCTTTACTGGCAATTTAAAGTGTCAGGATTTTATTGAGGCTGTATGGAGAACTGCATGAAAGCTTCTTATGTCAACACTGGAAGTGCTGAAGTTTCTCAACTAATCTGATGTTTGGTCCAATTTGGCGGGGAATGTAAGAACACCCCAAACTTCAATTAAAAATTTATCTCCCATTCGAATTCAATAAAGATGGTTGCGAAATTAGCAGTCACCATTTCATGTAGAATTCTGAGTTGTGCTTCATGTGATATTTATAGAATCTGATTGCCTTAGTTTATGTAGTTAGAAATTAGAGTCTTAACTGGTATAGTTACTTTCATGAACGCATCTATGTTCTAGGTGATCAGATGAACATATTTCTGAACGAGAACTGGAAACAATTGTTCAAGGACCTGTCTCCAGTAATCTTCAAGATCTTCGCGGAAGTTCTCGCATCCTCATTAAACACGATCACTACGGACATACCTTTCGATACCATGTTCCCAGAGAGAATTCCTAAGTGAAACTCTACCGTGGGCAGCGTGTTTGTGTACCAAGAATCGAGATGTTCTCCACCAAAACACTCCCCCCCCTCCCCCTCAATGAGGTCCTGAGGTTTGTAACTGGAGTTACAGTTTCCACGTCGCACGTCCGAAGAACTAATTTTATTTCTGAAGTTGTATCTTCATCAGCCTTAGAATGGTTATGTTTCGGAAGTGTTCTACATCAAGATTCTGCATATATCTATTGAAATATTTATCCTACTTGTAAATACCCCGAGAATAAATAATATGCAGAAATATTTGACTAAAAATACACCTGTTGTTACCAACTTTAAGAGAGCGTTGTCTGCTTAAATATGCTTGAAATCTTACTTTACACATCGGACTGGAAGATAAAAGTCTCATCTTAGGCCACAATTTTATTTTCATAATGTTCAGATTTTTCTAACAATTTTGCATATGGTAACAAGAAACCATATTGCCAATATAACACTTATTTCAACCACAAAAGAAACTTAATCTCAATAACTTTTTCAGAAGAAAACTGTTGAATCATGTCACAAAGTCAGGTGAACAGTGTTACCAATAGCTGCACAAAATATGATTCTAATATTTTATTTGTCAGATGTCATTAATTCAGCATATCTCATGACTACCTTGAGGAAACATTGTACTTTTTAATGTATTTCTGTCATACTCATGTATTTTTCTTAAGACCCCGAGTAAAGCACAACTTGCATACCCACCCAATCGCCCTCATGATAGAGGCAGTAAGGACCATTGAAACGTCGGTGAACTTCTGTCAGACTTCACGGCGTTGCAACCCAGAAGACAGTCATGTTTGGACTTACCGCTGTGAGAACCTCAAATCCTACATACTTAATGTCTGTCAGTTGGTATCACTTAAAAAGCAAATGTCTCAAATTGGATGCAAGTTCCATGTACGCGCCATCTTCGACTTTAGTTCCAAGGGAATTAGCAAGTTACAAGAAAGTAGAGCATGTTTTTGATCAGTTCCCAAGGTACCACACGAAGATTTTGTTAGGAGATTTCAATGTCAATGTAGGCGGGGAAGATATTACAGATATTACAGTTGGGAAGGAGAGTTTACACGAAATCAGTAATGATAATGGAGTTTGAGTAATAAACTTTGCTACATCCAAAAATCTGATTGTCAAGAGTACGATGTTCCCACGTCGTAGCATTTATAAATTCACCGGGCCATCTCCTGTTGGAAAGACATGGACCTTTTGAATTGCCTGTACCCTGGCAAAACTGGCCAAGGCGCGTTAGTCGCAATGCGAAGACACTTGGACTGTAAAACTTGCAGCTTCCGGACGTGGCTTCAATCAGTTGACGTTCAGATGAGCTGATTGTAGAACTACGCCCGTTTGCAAGACTATTCGAGACGTTGATCGCAACCCTCGAACCCTGTAACCACTGGCCCGTGCTTGTCTATGCCTCTCGCCGCCTTATATGCAGGTCCGTGTCTGCCTCACGTGTTGTATGCCGCTCATGGGCTCACATAGACAAGTCAGAGATCTGTCATACAGAGATCGGTCCGTGCAGAGCCCGAGTCAATCACATACCGCATTCGTCAGGGACACACTTCATCAGAAACAGTTCGAGAGAGACCGGTACTGCAAGCCATCAAGTGGTGGAATTTTTAAAAATTTAAAAATTTTCAAGAATTCAAAAAATGCTGGAAATTGTCCAAAAAGCGCACGAAACCAAAAAAAATTGAAAAATTTCGCCTTCACAATTTTTGGCAACATTTTCAAAAAAATTTGGTTTTGTGCGCTTTTCAGACAATTTCCAGCATTTTTTGGTTTTTCGAAAATTTTGAAAATTTTGAAAATTTTTCAAAGGTCTCCTCAAGAGACGCATGCCTGTCTCGGTGAATGCCACATCCTGTCCCTGCCGGACTCGGCCTCTATCTCACCCAGTTGCTGCCTGCCTCGGTGTCTGCTCCAACCGGCCTCTGCAGGACACTGGCCTCTGCAGGTCCTTGTCTGCCTCACGTGTTTTCTGCCGCTCCTGGGCTTCTCATAAACGACTTGTCAGTGATCTCTCATATAGAGACCGGTCCGTGCAGAGCCGGAGTCAGGCACAGTCCGCATTCGTCAGAGACACAGTACATCAGAAACAGTCCGAGAGGGACTGGTTCTGCAAGGCATCAGGTGGTGGAATTTTCAAAAATTTTAAAATTTTCAAAAAATCAAAAAATGCTGGAAATCGTCAAAAAAGCGCACAAAACCAAAAAAATTGAAAAATTTTACCTTCAAAATTTTTGGCAACATTTTCAAAAAATTTGGTTTTGTGCGCTTTTCAGACAATTTCCAGCATTTTTTGGTTTTTCGAAAATTTTGAAATATTTGAAATTTTTTCCAAAGGTCTCCAAAAGAGATGCCTGCCAAACCCGGTGAATGCCTCAAACAGTGTCTGCCGGTCTCGGCCTCTAACCCGCTTGCTGCCTGCCTCGGTGTCTGCACCAACCGGCCTCTGCAGGTCCGTGTCTGCCTCACGTGTTGTAGCCGCTCCTGGGCTCTCATAGACAAGTCAGAGATCTGTCATACAGAGACCGGTCCGTGCAGAGCCCGAGTCAGGCACGGTCCGCATTCGTCAAAGACACAGTACATCGGAAACAGCCCTAGAGACACCGGTTCTGCAATGCATTGGGTGGTGGAATTTTGAAAAATTAAGTTAAGACCATGCAAGTCCAGGCAAGGAAAGCCCAAACCAGACAAGGCCAGACAGGGTCAGACAAGGTCTGGCAAAGCGAGGCAAGGCCAGTAAAGGCGAGGTAAGTCCAGGCAATTCCAGGCAAGAACAGGCAAGGCGGCACAAGGCGATACAAAGCGAGGCAGGGCGAGGCAAGTCAATCAAGGCCAGGCAAAGTAAAGAAAGGCGAGCCAAGGCGAGGCAAGAAGAGGAAATATCAGGCATGGCCAATGAAGGCTAGGAAAGGCCAGACAAAGCCAGGCAAAGCGATTCAAGGCAAGGCGAGTCTAGGCAAAGCTAGGCAAGGCCAGGCCATGCGAGGCAAGGCCAGGAAAGTCGAGGTAAGGCGAGGTAAGGCCAGTAAAGGCCAGGCATGGCCAGGCAAGGCGAGGCATGGCCAAAGAAGATCAGGCAAGGCCACGCAATTCGAGGCAATGCCAGGGAAGGCCAGGCAAGGAGACACAAGGCGGGGCTAAGCGAGGTAACGCGTGGCAAAGCAAGACAAGCACAGGCAAGGCGAGGTAAGGCCAGGAAAGGAGACAAAAGGCGAGGTAAGGCGAGGTAAGGCCAGGCATTGCCAATGAAGGACAGGCAAAGCCACGCAAGTCGAAGAAAGGCAAGGTAAGTTTACGCAAGGCAAGGAAGTCCAGGCCTTGCTTCGCCATGCATCGCCTTGCCTTGCGTTGCCTCGCCTGGCCACGCCCTGCCTCGCCTTGTATCGCCTCGCCTCGCCTTGCCTCGCCTCGCAAGGGCTCACCAGGCCTCGCCCTGCCTGTCCTTGCATCGCCTTGGCTCGCCCTGCCTCTCATTGCATCGAATTGCTTCGCCTCGCCTCTCCTTGCATCGCCTTGCCTCGTCTAGCCAAGCCTGAATTGGCCTCGCCGTGCCTCACCTTGATTCGCCTTGCTCGGCTTGCCTCGGCTGTCCTCGCCTTGCCACGCCTTGCCTCGCATGACATCACCTGGCCTCGCCTTGCCTCGCATATTCTTTCCTCGCCTGAATTGGCCACGACGTGCCTCACCTTGCCTCGCTTTCCTCGGCTTGCCTCGACTGGAATGGCTTCAACTTGCCTCGCCTTGCGTTGCCTTGCCTGGCATCACCTGGACTCGCCTTGCCTCACCTTGAATCGACTTGCTCTCCTTGAATCGCCATGCCTCGTCATGATTCGCCTCGAATTGCCTGGTCTTGCCTCTCCTGAATTGGCCTTACCTTGCATCGCCGTGCCTAGCCAGGCCACGCCCGGCCTCACCTTTCATCGCCTTGAATCACCTTGCCTCGCTTGGCCTCGCCCTGCCTCACCTGGCATCACTTGGCCTCGCCTTGCCTCGCCGGGACTCGCCTTGTTCTCCTGGCCTCGCGTGGCCTAGCCGTGCCTCGACTTGCATCAACTTGCCTCGCCTTGACTCGTCTTTAATCGCCTCGCCTTGCTTCGCCTGAATTGGCCTCGCTTGCCCTCGCCGTGCCTCACCTTAATTCGCCTTGCACGGCTTGCCTCGGCTGTCTTAGCCTTGCCTCGGCTTGCCAAGCCTTGCCTCGCATGACATCATCTAGCCTCGCCTTGCCTCGCCTTGTTCTCCTTTCATCGCACTGCCTCGCCTTGCATCGCCTTGTCTCGCCTTGCTCACCTGTCATCGCCGTACCTCGCCTTGATTTGCCTCGCCTACTTTCGCCATAACTCGCCGTGCTCTTCTGGCAACGCCTGGCCTCGACTTGAATCGACTTGCTTCGCTTTTCCTCGCTTTGCCTCACCTTTCTTCGTCTTGCATCGATGGCCTCGCCTTGCCTAAACTTGCATCGCCTTGCCTCGCCATGACTCGCCTTTCCTTGCCTGAACTTGTCCAAACTGAATTGGCCTCACCTGGCATCGGCGTACCTCGCCTTGCCTCTCCTAGCCATGCATTGTCATCCCTCGCCTGGAATGGCTTCGTATTACCTCGCCTTGCCTCTACTTGATGCGCATTGGCTCGCTTGACCCAAGTCTTGAGAAGTCACTTGTCACAAGTCTTGAAAAGTCACTTGTCCCAAGCTTTGAGAAGTCACGTCCCAAGCCTTGAGAAGTCACTTGTCCCAAGGCCTGAGAAGACACTTGTCCCAAGTCTTGAGAAGTCACTTGTCCCAAGTCTTAAGAAGTCACTTGTCCCAAGTCTTGAGAAGTCACTTGTCCCAAGTCTTAAGAAGTCACTTGTCCCAAGTCTTGAGAAGTCACTTGCACCAAGACTTGAGAAGCCACTTGTCCCAAGTCTTGTGAAGTCACTTGTAACAAGTCTTGAGAAGTTACTCGTCCCAAGCCTTGAGAAGTCACAAGTCCCAAGCCTTGTGAAAGTCACTTGTCAGAAGAATTGAGAAGTCATTTGTCCCAAGCCTTCAGAAGTCACTTGTCCCAAGCATTGAAAAGTCACATGTCCCAAACGTTGAGAAGTTATTCGTCCCAAGCCGTGAGAAGTCCAACGTCCCAAGCCTTGAGAAGTCATTTGTTCCAAGCCTTGAGAAGTCACTTGTCCCAAGCATTGAAAAGTCACATGTCCCAAACGTTGAGAAGTTATTCGTCCCAAGCCGTGAGAAGTCCAACGCCTCGCCTCGCCTTGCCTCGCCTCGCAAGGGCTCACCAGGCCTCGCCCTGCCTGTCCTTGCATCGCCTTGGCTCGCCCTGCCTCTCATTGCATCGAATTGCTTCGCCTCGCCTCTCCTTGCATCGCCTTGCCTCGTC